AAAAAAAAATGATTGAAAGCCAAGAAATAATAGCTAAAAGTCATAGCCTCATGGATGAAGGTCAAGAAAAATGTAATATCCCAAATTTTCTGATATTTTCGCATTTAGTTAGGGGCTAAATTGTGAGAAAATAATATTATTGAGCTTAATGGAAAAAGTTTCTAAACTTGAGGGACTTGAAAGAGGAAAACATTAGGATAAGGATCAAGCTGATTTTTTTTCCTTCTTTCTTCCTCAGCCACGCGGGTTTCTTCTTCTTCCTCACCCCTACAGCTCCGGAAAAAGAAGCCCAAGCACTGACTTCCATTTCTTGAAAAAAATCAGCAAAAGCTTAAAATTTTCCCTTTCTTTTCTTGTTAAAGAGCAAAATTAGGACTTAGAAATCTTTCCCCCTGCAGAAAAATTTCAGATCTGCTCTGTTTCTCCCCCTTTGTCTGTCCGCTGTTCTGCTGGGTGTGAATCCTTTGGGATTTTCGGTAAGAACCAGCTTCAAGTTCATCTCTTTAGCTTTAATTTGGCTTGGGTCACTCTAATCCCTTTTGTTTCTTGCAATTTTGTGGTAGTTTTCATGATTTCTTCTTCGGTCTCCGTCGGCCTCCATACCCGCCAGCTCTGGTTTTGGCTGCTGGAAAAATTCTGGTATGTTGATGGCATCTTTAAGTCCGAAAATGGTTAATTAATTGCTGCCCTGAATCTTCGAATTTTCTGCCTTGATTTGTCCTTGTACTGTTCGGATTTTCTGCTGAAAGAGGGAAGAATTCCGACAACAGTGAGATGATTTTTCTTAGTTTAATTCATGTAAAAAAATTATCTTGATTAGCTGCTGTGAGGTTCTGGAGAAAAATCCCGTGAATTAGCTATTGTTTTGCCAAATTTCTGGAAGTTGCAGTTACTGTTGACTGCATGATTACTGTTTATGAGTACTGTTTACGATACTATTCACAGATTATTGTTTACGCACTAATGGCCAATGATAGAAAGGTTTAAATGTTTAGTTTCTAATAAGACTGAAATTAGAGGTGTCCGATCATGTGGAGGTTAATTTAAATAGCATCTTGATTAGGGGGTGATCCTAATAATGTTTTCACTTTGAATTTGAGGTAGTACGGTATTAATTCTGAGGTATTTTGATTAGATTCTTGAGTGTTCTATCACTTGAGCACTTGGCTTGAGTTTCCGGTATTACGGATTTGAGGTAAGTAAATTATGGTAACGCCTTTTGATTTCAAAGTGAAAGCATATTTTAAATCGTTTTTGAGATGGTGGTAAGGTTTAAATTGATTTTGTTGATACTGAGCATGATTGGTTTGAAATGAAATTATTTTCATTTTCATTGAGTAGAGCATGCTTACTTGGAATTTGCTTAATTGCTCTGATGATTTGAGAATTTTTGTAAATTATGAGTTTCTTGTTAAATCTATGCCCACATGGAAATTTTTCTATTATTTCTGGAATTTGAGATTTGATTGGAAATTACGGATTTTTTTTGTAAATCCTGCATGGTTTTGTCTCTGATATAGTCATGATTACTGATGCCCGCTAGTGGGAGTTTGCAAACGTTAACACATGTTGACATGTTTACTGATAGGACTGGTTCATTCTGTAATCCTGCCAATGGGATAATACATTAGTAATTACTGACGCCTGCCAATGGGCGAATACATTGGTAATTACTGACGCTGGCCAGTGAGAGTTTGTTAAACATTGGTTATTACTAACGTCTGTTAGTGGGAGTTGTTAAACACTGGTTATTATTTACGCTTGCTAGTGGGAGTTTGTTAAATACTGGGTATTACTAACGCCTGTCAGTGGGAGTTTGTTAAACACTGGCCATGACTTATAGATGAAACTACTACTGAATTTTCTTCTGCATTAACAGTTTGTCATTGAACACTTTGTTATTGAACTGAATCTTATTCTGTATTAACGGTTTATCATTGAACGTTTTGTTATGTTAAATTATTTATCAAGCATACTTAAATTTTACTCACGGTCTATTCATATTTTTACTTATTGAGATATTTTATCTCATAGTTTTTCCTTGTCCACCATTTCAGAAAACGAAGTTAAGGACGAGGAAAAACGAGAGGAGTGACGAGTTAGGAAGCTAGCCATCTTGTAAATTGAACATAGATTTTAGATATAAATCATGATCTTGTAAGTTAAACTTTATTTGGAGATTTTATGATATCAAGGCAAATTTTAAAATTTTATCTTTAGATTTTGTGGTATCAGATTATGGTATGATAAGTTTCGAGCTTTGTGCATTTGTGAGACCCTCTCACAAGTGTACAACGTCTATCACTTCCCCGGATTTGGGTTTTGAGGCGTGACACTTTTACATCATCCCCTTTTAGATCTCAAGTCGGTGATGAATATTTTAACAATCCTAAGGTTTATAAATCATAAGACTTGAAATTGCGGAAACATAAGGTACAAAATGTAATGATGATCAATGTTCTAGCCATTACAGATGTAACAATGTTATTAGAATCATCTATTGACTGAAGGAGGATCACTGCTAAGGATTTTAGGCATATTTATTCATCGAGCTTGCAAATCTGTGATGGTAACATTGTTTATTGACATTGAGTTATGCTTGCTCGATGATGAATCTGTTTCAAGTGCAGCCCTTCTGAGCAAGAAACCGGGTTCTTTTGGTTGAGGCAGTTCAATCTCACTTGCGAACATCAGCACCACAGATGACACGGTAGGCCTGTCCTCAGGATTCTGTTGTACACATAAAAGACTGATGTGGATGCATCTGAAAACTTCTGATAAAGGGTAATACCCCCCTAAGAATTCATCAACGAGTTCTAAAGGGTTGCCTTCTTTCCATAAAGTCCATGCCTAAAGCATATTGAAGTCTTTGCATCATTTGTCAGTTCAAAGAATATAGAAGGAAGCAAAAGAATGATTGAGTACGTAAACTTACATGTCCAATGAGGTTAAGGCTATTATCTGAATGAAACAACCCTCTACTTTTCATCCCCGTTACTATCTCCATCAACAATACACCAAAGCTAAAGATATCTGATTTTACTGAAAATAAGCCATCAATGTCATATTCTGGCACCATATATCCACTGCAGAAAATCGTTTAAAAGAGAACACATAAATGGGGATCTGGAGATAAAATTATGAAGAATTGAGGTAATAATACTTACAGAAGCAATACTTACTAAGTTCCAGCCACTCGGTTTGTGTTCCCTTCAATCTGGTCTCCTCCAAAAGTTTTGGCCATGCCAAAATCTGAAATTTTGGGGTTCATCTCACTATCAAGAAGAACATTACTAGCTTTGAGATCTCTATGTACAATCTGCAGCCTAGAGTCTTGGTGAAGGTAGAGAAGTCCCCTGGCAATCCCACAGATAATCTGGAAACGCTTGGACCAATTTAGTTCTTTACGCCTTGTTTGATCTGGAAAACATTGTGTTCTTGGTAATTTAGTATCCTCCTTCATCCAAAGTTTGTCAAATAGAGATAACGTAACTATATTGGTGTAAGTTAGAGAAGTTCTTAAGGATTTGAATCCAAAATGAATGAGTCCAGGCTTCTGTTAGGCATGTATTCATAAACCAACAATTTCTCCTCTCCTTCAATGCAACATCCAAGAAGCCTAGCAAGATTCCGATGCTGAAGTTTGGCAATCAGCTTAACCTCATTCTTGAACTCATTTAATGCTTGTCCAGAACTCCGGGAAAGCCTTTTCACAGCAATTTCTTGTCCATCCATTAATTCTCCCTAGAAAATAAAGTGGGGTAAGTTATTAAAATCAAATGTAATGTACTTCGGTGAATTTTCGCAATGTGCTGCAAATATACCTTGTAAACCAGTCCAAATCCCCCTTGACCTAGCTTGTTGGTGAGTGAAAAGCTATTAGTGGCATGAAATATTGTAGCTAGTTCACATACTGGATGCTCCATGTCTTCTTTCTGAACTTCATTCTTGTAATTTTCTTTCTTCTCTTCCCATCTCTCTGAGAAAGTACAGGTTTAACATTAATCATCATATTTAGAGAACTATGCTTAGACCATTAGTACTTTGAGATTTGAAACCATTCTGTTTATCCAGCAATCCTTTTTTTTTTTCCTAGACAAGAAAAAGCAGGTTCAAAACCCGGGCAGTGAAAAAATGGCAGAAAGATCAGAACAAAACATGCATGTAATCTGAAAATTGATTGACATTGAAAGCATTTAAATCAATAAGGAAAAAAATAAGCATATTTGTAAAGGCATAAGTTTGAAACGCTACCTTCTAATCTTCTCTTTCTTTTGCGAGAGTAACAGCAGACTATGAACACCCCCAAAAGTACAGCAAGTGGAATTGCAAATATCAGTGCCAACTTCATCTTAAGGTTGTTTTGTGATTCTTCATGATCAAATTTTATGGAGAAAATCATATAGTTAAATCAGCTTTAATGGAAACATATTCAGGTTCTCATGAAATGGAATTCAAAGCAAGGGTAACTTGTACCTGATTCTGAAGCAGACATTCTGATGTATAGATCCTGCCCACCAACTGGAAACTGTCTAATATCAGTTAAATCACCAAACCAAATAGCACAACCACTAACTCCTCCTCTTATATCATAACTAGTGTACGCCCTACAAGAACAGTTCTGAAAGCATTTAATCCTGCATTCCTTGAGATTCATGCTTTTGTTTACCCAAGAATGTGCAGCATCTGGCAACTTTAACCTTTTTAATCTGATAAATCCCTCCTTGCTGACAGTTCAATGGCTTGTTTCTGACACATCCATCAGACCAGTCCATCGAGTTCCATCTACTCAGTGATATAGGACTGAATCCATTCAAACAATTGCAAGATGGAGTTTGAGTAATGTCACAATAACTGTATGAACCACAACGTCCATAAGTGTAACAGAAGTCTCTTGGCATGTATGAATACAGAGTCCAAGCTTGAGTATCTTCACTCCGTATGTATTGCTGGCTTGCAGAGACTGTTTGGTTCATGATAAGCCTTGTGATCAAAGACTTGTTCTTGAGGAAATAAATGACGTACAACTCCTCTTCATTGGCTACAAATTGGCTATCAGTTACTGGGATAGGCCTTGTAATTGCAGTGCCACTAAACCATTCGCCTTTAAAGGGACCACCCCTGTAGTACTCCTGTGACCCTTTCCTCATCACTGACTCAGGATTGCCATGCGGTTCAATTCCCCACGAAAAGTCACCTGGAGATGGATCATTAGAGTTCTTCCATGCTGTGATACGCCGTTCAAGACCGGTTCTTAAGTCCCATCCCATCTTCATCCCCGGTAGCAATGTATCAGATGGATAATCAAAGCTTTGCCGCAAGTAAGTTGGAGAGTTTCCACCACTTTTATCAATCAGAACAATATTGCCAGAATCCAGTAGCTGCAGTATTGGATTCTGAGCTTTTCTTGTCAAGTTTGCTGACCAAACAACAGTCATATTCTGACTCAGAATCTGAAGCTCACCTGTTTTCTCAACTGTCAGCATGCTGGAAGAGTCATTTATTGGATTCAGCCTGTTTGCCATCCAAACAACTGTCCTGACTGGGATGTTCTTGTACCAAATTCCCAAATAGCGGTTCCTGGAACTGCCTGGACTGAAGAAACCCAATTCAAAGCTTCCGCCATTGGAGACTAAGGTCTTGCTATCAGGAAGAGACTCACGTGGACAAATGGAGTCAAATGCAGTCGACGCATTCAAGAAAAAAAAATGAGAAAACAAGTATTCATAAATACTGTCAAAGTAAAAGCCTCCATTTATGTCTAAACTTAAAGCCTTTTCCAAGCAAGATAAATGTAGGGACTACATGATTTGAGAATGCAAACGAGCTACGATCTCAAAAGGAAAAAGCTTTGACATTGTGTAAATAATTTAAGAAACAAAATCTGGTACTTGGATTCCAATCATAATATTTTATTTTGATTCCTACTAGGAATCAGTAAATAAAATTAATTGTGCAGAAAAAAAGAACTATCTAAATAATTGTTTCCGGGAAACCTTTAACTATAGATCCTAGTTGCAGCCCCTTTTTTGGATTTCAACGATCTTCCTTAAAATTACATGTTCCAATTCAATTGCAGCTTGCAAGCATTTCCAGTACCATAGCAGTCTGGTATTAAATAACGACTCAAAATGTCACATGTATCTGTCAGATGAAACTGTGTTTCAAAGCTATCTATGCATAGGAAATTATGCACAGAGTTGCATTGATTGGTTAACAAAGGGTGAGAACCGAGAAGCCGATAGTTTCACCCAATCCAAGCCAAGGGTCAACAAAAGTAATCCTCCTCACATTCTGCATTGGTTCAAGAGTTAGATTTCCTCATTCTAGGAAGCTCAGGCTTTTAACATATGCTAGCGACAAGGTTATAGAGTTTTTTTCTTACAAATTCTAGTCATTTTTCTAAAATGATTCTAGTGACAATCAACCAATAAACATACAAAGTTTTCTGGGATACATACATAGATCATTTGCAGTCATATTCAGAAGATTTGCTGCACCAAAAAATCAATCCTTTCTTGACTTTATTTATTTATTTATTTATTATTATTATCATTATTATTTATTTATTTTTGCAACTCTGCTCTGTTTTATCTTCAGGACACTAGGGTCATATTAAACATGGTATAGGCTGATGGAATTTAAATTTCTAGAGCCGTCATTGAAATTTCTGAATTTGTACACAGAATCAGTTGACATTTGATTAAAAAGTTGAAGGGTCATGTTTCCGCATTGGAATCAAGTGACCTTATGCTCATCAAGCCTTTTTTAGCACCTCATTAGGCTTGAAATTGAAGAAACATAAGAATACCAGTGAACAATGTTCAGGCGTGACTATATTATTCATTATCGACCCTGCAAGATTGTGATGGTAATTTCATTTACTGTGGTCGAGTCATGCTTACTCGTTGAAGTATCTGTTCCAGGTGCAGTCTTTTCAAGCAAGAAACCAGGCTGTTTTGGCTGAGGTAATTCAATCTCACTTGCCAACATCAACACCACAGATGACATGGTTGGCCTGTCCTCAGGATTTTGTTGTACGCATAAAAGACCAATGTGGGTGCATCTGGTAACTTCTGATGGGTTGCAAGACTCTCCTAACGATTCAGCTGCAAGTTCTAAAGGGTTGCCTTCTCTCAATAGCCTCCATGCCTAGGGGATATTAAAGCCTTCTCATCATGTCAGTTCAAAGAATATGAAAGGAAGTAAAAAAAATGATCTATACTTACATGTCCAATGAGGTTGAGGTTGTGTTTTGGTTGGAAGAACCCTCTATTTTTAAACCCACTTATTATCTCCAGCAATAATACACCAAAACTAAAGACATCTGATTTTACTGAGAATAGCCCATCAATGGCATATTCTGGGGCCATGTAACCACTGCAGAAAAAGGTAGAAAAGAGAACAGATTAACGGGCTTTTACGGATAAACTGTTTTAGTATTGAAGTAATACTTACTATGTCCCAACAACTCTCTTTGTGTTCCCTTCAGTCTGGTCTCCTCCAAAAGTTCTGGCCAGGCCAAAATCTGAAATTTTGGGGTTCATCTCACTATCTAGAAGAACATTACTAGCTTTGAGGTCTCTATGTATAATCCGCAATCTGGAGTCCTGGTGAAGGTAAAGAAGCCCCCTGGCAACCCCACAGATAATCCTGAAACGCCTGGACCAATCTAATTCTTTACTTCTTGTTTGATCTGGAAAAACAATAGTGTTCACGTTTATTCAGTATCGTCCTTCACCTAAAATATATGAAATAGATATAACATAGCCACATTTGTCTGAGATAGCTAGAAGAAAGTTCTTAAGGTTCTCTAACCAAAAATGAATGAGTCCAGGCTTTTGTTAGGCATGTATTCATAAACCAGCATCTTTTCCTCTCCTTCAATGCAACACCCAAGAAGCCTAACAAGATTCCGGTGCTGAAGTTTGGCAACCAGTTTAACCTCATTCTTGAACTCATTTATTCCTTGCCCGGAAGTCAAGGAAAGCCTTTTCACAGCGATTTCTCGCCCATCCTCCAATTTTCCCTAGAATATAAAATGGGGTTAGTTGCAGTAATAACAAATGTTGTTTACGTATAAAATTTACCTTGTAAACAGGTCCAAAACCCCCTTCACCCAGCTTGTTGCTGACTGAAAAGTTATCTGTGGCATTTGATATTCTAGCTAGTTCAAACATTGGAAGCTCCATGTCTTCTTCCTGGCCTTCATTACTTATATCAGTTTCTTTCTTTTCTTCTATTCTCTCTGAAATAGTAGTAGACATAGAGCTTGACATTAACCATTGGAAGATCAAATATGGGAACCAAAATAGTAAAGCTTTGTTCAAATGTATTATGAGATTCAAAATCATTTCTGTTCACAAGAATCTAATTGTAAAATGGAAAAAATCAAGACAATACCACTGCATTGATAAAATTATGATTGGATTTTGCCAATACTCATATCAGCCTGGAACAAAATGAACATATATTTGTTAAGGTTAAGAGTTTGATATATTTACCTTCTGATCTTTTTTTGCTTTTGCCGAAGTAATAGCAGACAATAAGCACAACAAGTGGAAAAGAAAGAGGAGTTGCAATTGTCAGTGCTATCTTCAACTTTGTCTCGTTTATTTTCGATCCTACGTGGTCAAATTTGATAGAAAAAAATATAATTAAAGTATCGCTAAAACCTGTTATCACAAGTTGCAACAAGAATAGTTCTTTGATCTTTCTAACATTGAAGTTTTCAAAATTGGAGAGGCACTGAGGAAAGTATATGCTCATACCTAATTCCGAAGCAGACATTCTAATGAACAGATCCTGCCCACCAGATTGAAACTGCCTAATGTCAACTAGATCACCAAACCAAATAGCACAACCACTACCTTCTGTTATATCAAAACTACTATATGCCATACAAGAACAATTCTGTAAGCATTTATCCTTGCAATCCTTGAGGGTCATTGTTCTGTTTACCCAAGAATGGTTAGCATCAGGCAATTTCAACTGTTTAAATCGGAGAAATCCATCTCTCTGGCAGTTCAATGGTTTGTTTCTGACACATCCTTGAGACCAGTCCCCTGAGCTCCATCTATCTGGTAATCTAGGCTTGAATCCCTTCAAACATTGGCAAGCTGGAAGCTGAGTGTTGTCACAATTTCCATATGCACCACACAGTCCGTATGTGTCACAATAGTCTCTAGGTAGGTACCCAATAAGCCTCCATGTTTGAGTTTCTTCACTCCATGTGTATCTCTGAGCTGTGTAGTCAGTTTGGTTCAGCACAATCCTTGAGATTAGAGACTTGTTTCTGAGGGTGTACATGTAGTACACTTCATCTTCATTGAAGACAAATTCATATGCAAAAATTGGGTTATTAGGCTTTAAACTTGGTGAGCCGCTAAACCCTATGCCATTCCAGGGGCCACCCCGAAAGTACTTCTGCAAGCCTTTCCATAGAACTCCCTCAGGATCTCCTTGTAGTTCAAATTCCCAAGTAAAGTCACTAGGAGATGGATCATCAGAGTTCTTCCATGCTGTGAGACGCCGGTCAAGGCCAGTCCTCAAGTCCCATCCAAATTTCATCTCTGGTAGCAGCGTATCTGATGGATAATCAAAGCTTTGCCACAAGTAAGCTCCTGAATTTTCATCACGTTCATTCATCAGAACAAGATTGCCCGTACTCAGAAGCTGCAATACCGGATTCTGAGCTGCTGCTGTTGAGTTAGCTGACCAAACAACAGTTACGTTCTGACTCAGAATCTGAATTTCACCTGTGTTTGTTATCATCAGCATGCCAGAAGAGTCGTTTAGTGGATTCATCCTGTTTGCAACCCAAACAACCGTCCTGACTGGGATGTTCTTGTACCAAATTCCCAAGTACCAGTTCCCAGAACTGCCTGGAGAGAAGAAACCCAACTCAAAGCTTCCATCACTGGAGACTAAGGTGTTACCATAAGGGAGAGGCTCAGATGGAGAAATGGAGTCAACAGCAGTAGATGCTTTCAAGAAGAATAGAAAGCAGGTACCAACAAATGCTATCAAAGTAAAAGCATCCATTGATGTCTAGCATCTAAGCTATTTCCTGGCAAGATAAATTCAGACCCTGCATGAAAGGAAAAAAATACTTGACTTGTATGGATGCTTGAAGAAGAATGGTTGTGAACAGATGACTTTTAGAATGACGACCATGTTAAAATCTTTCAATACCAAGAACAAATAAACTATGTTTTTTAACATGGAAAATTTGACTAAATGATAGTTGCTAAAATGTCTTGAATACCTTAATTTTCCTTAAGATTCAAGCAACTAACCTTCTTTTAACCTTCTTTTTGTTTTAAATGTTCTGCCTCATTCTTGCTGAAAGTCATGTTTTCCTACCAACTGCAATCATTTTCTAGAACCATATCAATGAAATATTTATAAAATGTTTGGATGAACCTATATTTCAAAGTTTAGCAAAGAAAGTCAAACACAAAGTCAACCAAATTGGGCTTTGGTTTAACGTCTCCCATCAATTTAAACAAAGAGTGGAAAGTATTAAACCTCACCAATTCAAGCAAAGGGTAGACTAAAGCAACCCTCCTCTTAGTCTGCATTAGCCCCACGTTCTGGGAAATTCAAAGCTTTACGGCGAGACCAGGCTATAAGAAGTTTCATTGTTTGTCTTGCAAATTCTTCTCATTTTCATAGAACAATTCCGGTTTCAAACAACATTAGACATGCAAGGTTTATCCTGATGATTCCACCTTAAGGAATGAGATCACAAATCCTAAGAATCAAATAGAATAGGTATCACTTTCTTGAATGGAAAATATATAAGTCCCAGAATGCTTCCACAAAAAATATTTCATTATGATAATGTATCATGCTTCAAGAATTCATTGGTATCAACTAAGTTCATTGGTTGCCGATGATTCAAACATACTTGATGAAGAATCTGTTCCTTGGGATTTCTTTTCCATAGGGAAACCAAGTTCTTTCGGTTGAGCTGACACAATCTCACCATCCAGCATCAGAACCATGTGGATGCACCATGTCGCTTCTGAATTCTTCAGGCTTTGCCTTTATGCAGCCCGTTTTCTAAAATTTATAACTTTTTATTGGATTAGAAAATTATTACATTCATTCAGTGCATATCTCCAATTTTCTTGGAATTGGGAACTCATCTATTTCTAGGTTCCAACAGAGATTGCTTCTTCAGAATTGAATGAAGAAAAACCAGAATGGAACAGTATGAAGAAGATAATTCAGTCTAAATTGAATCTTTCTGTATATTCCACCAATTTCATTACATTCATAAAAAACACAAAAAATTGGGATCAAATGGAGAAAAATTGAATGTTCAATAGTAACAATCCTTGAGTTCATGTTCAAGAGCTTCTTCCAACACAAACCGGGACGCCTCCATCAACTCAGGACTCAACCGGAACATCAAGACGCAAAATTCCATCTGATTAAGCGTCCCATCGCCGTCAAAGTCTCCTTCTTTCAACATGCACCGGAGGTCATCGTCGGTTAAATCCTGCAAACCCAGAAGAGCAGAGTTCCTCTTGAGACTGTCAAATGTGATGACCCCCTTCTCGCCATCCACCAGCAAGTTGAACCCATTGCACAGCTCTCCCATCAGGCCGTCGCCACCGAGCTTGTTCGCCATCAGAGGCAAGAAATCGTGGAAATTTTCCAATGGGGTTTGGGAAGAAGATGCCATCTGTAGAGTTGCAAAGACAGAAATTCTGAAAATTGGGTTTGTCTGTGGGGATAAAGGTTCATGCTTGAGTGCATATTATATAAAGGAGAGGGGAAGAAATAGGATTTTCCAAGAAGGAGCGGCCGTGGCAGCCAACTAAGGAACCGCCAGGCGCCAGACAGGACATGAAGAAACATGTCAGTGGTTTCTCAGAAGGTAGCTTGAGGGTAGTAATGTCAATTTAACAGGAAACGCGGCGGTGGGTTCTTCCTTATCAAGGAAAAGTATTTTTTTTTTTATTGAATTTTTTTTATTAGTTAACTTTAATTGTTGAATTTTCATCCCAATAGTTGGATTTGTCTGTAAAAAGGATTAATATTAAAGTAACCAATGATGTAAATAATTTTTTTAATAAAAGTAAAAGATAGTTAATTTTAAACCATATAATATGAAAATAAAATGAATTAAGAGATATGAGATAATTATTTCATAACACAAAATTAAAAAAATTGAAATTAAAGTTTTGCAATAAACATTTTTGTTAAATTTGAGGTGAATTCTTAATATTGTTTAAAGGTTTAAGAAAGAATTAGTGATCACATGACAAGATAATCAACTATTTTTTTATATAAATTTCTCTTATTTGTCTTAAAATTTAATTATAAGATAGTATTTAAGATATTTGAATTATTTACAAATTAAAATAAATTGTTGTAATATAATGGGTAAAGAGATTTATTTCACACATTAAACTTTTAAGTTATGTTTTATTTGACTATTTTTAACATGCATAATTGAAATAGTAGTTAAGGTTTTAAAGTGAACAATTTTCTTTAATTTGAAACAAACTCTTAATACTGTTTAAAAGCTTAAGAAAGAATTAATGATCACATGAAAAAATAATCACCTTTTTTTTTTTAATTCCTCTCATCTATCTTAAAATTACTGAAGTAATTCTAAGAACTTATTTAAGGTTTTTAAATTATTTGAAAATTAAGTTGAATTGTTGTAATATAATAGTTGATATTAATTTAGAATCAACATATTAATTGTTATTTTTAAATACCTATTTTAAAAAATCAACTACCTCTAAAAAAAAAAAAAATACACACACACCCCCAATTTTATTTTACTTTTTTAAAGTCACAATAAGATTCAACTTTGGTAACCTGTCTAAAAAAAAATAAATACTCAATCTAATTTATCCATCTAATTAACAATTAAGATTCACACTCCAAACTCTAACCCTAAGAGGCGGCGAGAGCAATGCAAGTTCTTTCCCGATTTTTCGGGGTGATGGCAGAAGTAGCATCAGCCGTGACGTTGTTGTGTTTTGTCTGAAAGCAAAGTTCCAATTCCTCCGCAGTCGGCAGCCAGCAAGGAGCCTAATCTACGCGATTTTAACATGTTATTTATATATATATCTGGAAGTTTCCAATCAGAAAATATTTTATCTCAAAGTTTGACTTCTTAGAGTTGGCCTTGTTTGACCAAGAAGATTTGTTCCGCAATGGGGCGGCCCAAACCGGGCCAAATACAAAGCTATCTTTTACTCAATTTGGACTTCAAATGGACCTTTTATTGATGGTCCAAGAGACTCTTCGCGAAAGGTGGAAGCCCACATAAAGAGACCAATCAAGGAAACGATCCGGGTGGCATATAGTATAAGCCCAAATAATTAGTCAGTAATAATATGTTTGAATTGAGGAAAATGGAGGGGAAAGGAGGGGAGGGAAGGGTTGAAGAGAGAAAAAAAAAATTTTTATTTGTTATAAAAAAAATTGGAGGGGTGGAGAGGGGAAAATTTTCCTTTCCTTTTTTATTTTTTAATTTAGATATTTATCAAAATAAGGAGAAGGGAAGAGAGGGGAAAGAAGGAAAACGGAGGAAAAAATTTTCCCTCCACTCCCTTCCCCTCCCCACTATTCTCCCAAACTTAAACATAGGGTAAAGAAAACCGAGAAAGGCCCATAACAAAGGAACAGCCCAGAAGATGTTAGCGTCTATCTTTTACCCCAAAAGGAAGGGACTTAAAATGGGCCTTCATTGATGGTCCAAGAGACTATTCGAGACAAATCAAGGAAACGAGTTGGGCCCATTTAGTGTCGGCTCAATTGAGGAGTCCAGCAAAGGATACCGAGAAAGGCCCATAACAAAGGAACAGCCCGGACGACGCTAGGACTCAGCAGATGAGTCAGATTCGTCTTCCTCTCCGACGGAGATGGCCGCCGGCGGCTACCCAGAGCGCACGCCGACGACGTTCTGCTGTGGTGTAAGCATGAGCCGATTTCGTACTTTCGATGCAGTAACCAGAAATTTTGGTACGTAATTTTCCTTGCCTTCTCTAATTTTTCTAGCATATTAGGACGACTTTGAAAACCCAATTAGCTGAAATTTCTTTTTTTTTTTGTCTCTTTCATATTTTCAATATTGCCTCTAGAATCTAGATTGATTTCTTATACATTTACAAAATAATCATGCATATATTATTGACTTGACTTGTTGAATAAGTTAACTTATCTTTTTTTTTTCTTAATAAAAATCTATTTAGGACAATAAACTTAAATCAATCAAACATATATTAACTTAAAGATTTTAATTTAAGAATAAGGTAAGAATTCAAATCTCTATATTAACAACCAACTAATTTTCTAATATACAAAAAAAAGAGTCTAGGTAATATTTCTGTTATTGTTTTTTTTTTTTTGGTACATATTTCTGTTATTGTTGGTTACATGTTTAATTATTGAATTGGACTATTCTAAAAACAAGAGCTTACAGAAAGTCAGGGCCAAAACTTCAAAGGCAATGATAGTGAAAACCTTTCTCGAAGAATGGTGCTCTTTGAATTGATTTTGGGTGTGGAAGTGGGAATGTGAAAGTGGGCGCGAGATAAAGTCTTCACACGCTTAGAAAATCTTCACGGTCCCTCTACTCTGCAAGCGCAACTACAGAAGTCTTGGGAAGGTAAGATACATACAATCTTCTCATATCCAAGAAATTTGTGGATGCAATTAACTGTTTACTTGTTGACAACATCTTATGAAATTATGAGATCTCATGTTGCTAAATATTGTGAGTTTTGTAAAATTTATATACTTGATGAGAATTAGGTGATGATTTATTGATCACACACGCATACACATATACACATATGCATGAGAGACTTTTGTCATGAAAAAGCAAGTAAATTACACATACATATACATATATACACATATATGCACAATAAACTTTTATCTTGCAAGGCAAGCAAATTCGAAATCATGGATGTATATGTGAGTTCAAAACTAAGATGATGATAAGCCATAAATATTAATGATCATTGTTTGAAGTGAAATGATGTGAACTTTTGAGAAATACAAAAAGTCTATAGGAAGAGGCCAGCCACTTCTCAAGATGTAATATTGGGCTAGGGAGGGACTTGAATCAAGGTCTCTGCTGATATGATAGCCACAAAGGCAATGCCATGGGCGGTGATGACTTGTTCGATGTGCCTCGGAGTTCTCAAACATCGCATAGCAATTTTTTTTTAAAAAAAATTAGGTATGATTAACCTTTCTTTGAATCGAATGGGATTGTGGAAATAAAAATTGGATCAATTAATTGTATTAGTGTTTGTAGACTACTGAAAAGAAATACCATTGTTTGTTTCTTAAGTCACAGCATTCTAGATTCTTTGGCCCACCATGGCACCACACAGTTCTTTAGATTTTGGTTTTTTGGTTGAAGTTTCTTGCACTAGCAGCACCACAACGAAGACTGGGGTAGGTGGTATGTATATTGTGCTGACTTTGACTGGGTCAGAGCCAGAAAAAGAGATTGTAACATAATTTCCTTCTTTTTAAAGAAGAGTGTTTAAACTCAGAAAAAGGAAATATAGTTGAGAAAGGCATGACACATCCATGAAAGGCTTTAGAATACATATCCTTTTCTACTATTTTTGCTTTAGTTTTCTACTTTCTACTGCAGCAGACACCATAGCTCCACTTCAGTCAATTAGAGATGGCCAGACTGTAGTTTCAGCTGGAGGGACCTTTGAATTTGGATTTACTAATTATGGTGGTTCAAGGACTAGATATTTGGGAATATGGTACAAGAAGATATCAATAAGGACAGTGGTATGGGTTGCCAACAGGGAGATTCCGCTCAATGATTCATCAGGAGTCCTGCAGCTAACAGGCCAGGGAATCCTGGTTGTCCGTGATGGGACAAACAGCACCATTTGGACCTCCAAGATGTCAAGAGATGTGCAGAATCCAGTTGCACAACTTTTGGACACGGGAAACCTTGTTGTCAAAGCTGTAGGGGTTGATGGCAAAGACCGCATTTTGTGGCAGAGTTTTGACTACATTGAGGACACATTTTTGCCAGGCATGAAGTTTGGAAGGAACCTGGTGACTGGCCTTGATAAATACCTAACGTCATCAAAGAGTTCTGATGATCCTTCTCCTGGTGAGTATACAAGCAGGCTTGATCCTGGTGGATATCCACAGATATTTCTTAGAAGAGGTGATGTTAAACAGCTCAGGTCTGGACCCTGGAATGGTCTCCGGTTCAGTGGAATGGCAAATTTGAAGGAAAATCCAATTTATAAATTTGAATTTGTTTACAATGAGGAGGAAATCGTTTATATGTATCAGCTTATAGACAGTTCAGTTGTTACAAGGGTGACACTGAACCGAGATGGTGTCCTCGAGCGCTGGACATGGTCCGATCGAGCTCAGGTTTGGAGCCTTTACTTAACTGCACAAATGGATAACTGTGACCGGTATGCCCTCTGTGGTGCATATGGCAGTTGCAACATTAACAACTCTCCTCCATGCGGATGCTTGAGGGGGTTTATGCCTAAATATAAACATGATTGGGAAACAGGTGATTGGACAGGTGGTTGTGTCAGGAAAACAAAAGTAGAATGTGGGAAAGGAGAGGGATTTCAGAGGATAAGAAGCATTAAACTGCCAGACACAAGTCAGTCTTGGTTTAATAGAACCATGAACCTTAAAGAATGTGCGAGGGAGTGCTTAAAAAATTGCAATTGTACAGCTTACGCAAATTTGGATATCCGAGATAGAGGAAGTGGATGCTTGCTTTGGTTCAGTGAGCTGATTGATATCAGAGAGTATGCAGAAGATGGACAAGATATTTACGTAAGGCTTGCTGCCTCTGATTTAGGTATGGATTCTCATATTATCTTGCAAATGAAATACTCTTTGCATATTCACTCCTAAACCTTATTCAAATTGTTTATGTAGACAACAGCAGCTCAGAGAGAAGGAAATGGGTGAGGCTCATAGTCATCCCTGTTTTAGTCTTGGGATTGGTTTTCTTGGCCATAGGCTTCATTGTTCACATGAGGAAGAGGAAGAAGCTTCGAGGAGTAGGGACAACATTACTGATTCAGGAAAGAGATTACATCAAAAAGGACGGGGATCAAGAATTAGAACTTCCTCTATTTGATTTGGCTGCGATAGCTGAGGCCACCAACAACTTCTCAGATGCCAATAAGCTTGGAGAGGGTGGCTATGGCCCTGTTTACAAGGTAGTGTTTTCCTATACTAGATTATGATATTTATTTCTTTAACTTGCAATTTATAGCTAATGCCACTCAATATAAACTGTCTAAACTTCAGTCAAGAACTCAAATGTTTCTACAAATTCTACCTTTTCTTAGGGCATATTAAAGGATGGGCAACAAATAGCAGTAAAGAGGCCTTCAAAGAATTCTACACAAGGTCTTGATGAATTCAAGAACGAAGTCTTATGCATTGCCAAATTGCAACACAGAAATCTTGTAAAACTTCTAGGATGCTGCATTCAAGTCCAAGAAAAGATGCTGATTTATGAATTCATGCCTAACAAGAGTTTAGACTCCTTCATTTTTGGTATGGCTCTTTTAGAAGCCTTTCCACTTCTTTCTACTTCCATAGCGTACTTGATGTAACTTGTTTTCACATTTGTACTATATCAGAAGCTTGAGATTTTTATTAAACAACAAATAGTAGCTACACAGATTGACTTTTATTATAATAATGGCAGATCAAAAGCAAAGAACGTTATTGGATTGGCCAAGGCGCCTCAACATTATCAATGGCGTTGCACGAGGACTCCTTTATCTACACCAAGATTCCAGACTGAGAATTATTCATAGAGACCTAAAGGTCAGCAATATTTTGCTGGACCAAGAAATGAACCCTAAGATTTCAGACTTTGGTATGGCTAGAAGCTTTGGTGGAAATGAAATAGGAGCAAGCACAAAAAGAGTGGTTGGAACATAGTAAGAATTCCTCCATGCCTCTTCCATATGATTGAATGCAATTTTATTGCCTACATAAGTCTTTGACTTGAATGATGCAGTGGCTATATGTCTCCAGAGTATGCAATTGATGGGCTCTTCTCGGTGAAGTCAGATGTATTTAGCTTTGGGGTATTGGTGTTGGAGATAGTGAGTGGAAAGAGAAATAGAGGATTCTGTCATTCAGACCACAAGCACAACCTTCTAGGGCATGTAAGTATCAAGTTAAGTAGCATTCTGTGTTTCTTCTACATGTATGTAATATGGTTCTGTACTTTGCAGGCCTGGATGTTATACAAAGAAGGGAGGCCTTTAGACCTGATTGACGACTGTATATCACAGTCTTATGTCATGTCAGAAGTGTTGAGATCAATTCATGTTGGTCTTTTATGTGTACAGCAAAGTCCAGAAGACAGACCAACCATGGCAGCTGTGGTTCTCATGCTGAGTACTGAGATTGCTTTGCCTCAGCCTAAAGAGCCTGGTTTTTTCACTGAAAGGGATTTGTTTGCTACAGACTCATCATCTACCAAGGCTGAATCATGTTCAGTGAATAACATGAGCATCACACAGTTAACGGCTCGGTAGTAGATACATTCTTTTTTTCCCCTTTCAGATCAGTGAAAATTTTATCGTCCATTTCCTTTATGTCAGACTCCGATAGCAAATAAGTGTTGGAAACATAGAAGAAATTAGTCGAATTCATAGTGTTACGACTTAAGACTGTAAACGCTGTCCAATTATATGAAATTTTCTGCTTCAGAAAGATTTCTTTTCTCTGTAATTCTCTTCCACTAAACTATTGAAAACTGGTTAATATAAACATATTGAAAAAGAATGCACTATAAAATACATTTCTTATCTCATTAATGCCAAGATCCACAATTGCAAATGCCACTGAAGGTGAAAGATCATCCTGGTTCTTGGCTGGAAAACTTGATCTGAGAAAATCATCACCATGACAAATGACTACAATTTCCCGTTACCTTATTTTTCACTATCTTGCCTCTAACAACGTAATAGTGCACTCATTTTTTGAAGATGATCCGTGCTGACTTCCTGTAGAATCAGCTTCAGGCAGACTCCTTTCTGTGAAAAAGCCAGGCTGCTTTGGTTGAGGCAAAGCACTCTCACCTCCCAACATCAGCACCACAGTGGCCATGTTTGGTCTATCTTCTGGTCTGTGCTGAACACATAATAGCCCAACATGAATGCATCTCAGCACCTCAGATGGAGCACAAAAATCACCAAGCACACTGTCAATTAGCTCCATTGGCCTCCCTTCTATCCATAATCTCCATGCCTGGAAGGATAGAATGGGATCATTGTTGACATAATGGTCAAGGAAGAAAATAGTTTCATTCTTTAAACTTACATGTCCAAGAAGATTATGGTGATGATCTGGGTGCCAAAATCCCCTGTTCTTCTTCCCAGTTACTACCTCAAGTAGCAAGACTCCAAAGCTAAAAACATCAGATTTAACTGAGAAAAGTCCATCCACAACATACTCAGGGGACATATAACCACTGCAAATATGTTAAAGCAGAAAGAAGCTCAGTAACGAAGGAAAAAATGTAAAATACTGAAAGTAGAGCAAGTTTTGGTGTACTTACTATGTTCCCACCACTTTCCTTGTGTTGGCTTCAGTTTGTTCTCCCCAAAATGATCTGGCCATGCCAAAATCTGAGATTTTTGGGTTCATTTCACTATCTAGTAAAACATTGGCAGCTTTGAGATCTCTATGAATGATCCTCAATCTAGAATCTTGATGGAGATAAAGAAGTCCTCGAGCAATTCCACTAATGATATGGGCGCGCTTTTCCCAGTCTAGTAGTTTGCTCCTCGTTCGATCTGATTAATTAATTTATTTTTCATGTTAGTGCAAGTTCAGAAATTGATGATGACAGGTGTTGGGATCAGAGTTCTAACCGAAAATAAAGTAGTCCAAACTTTTATTTGGCATGAACTCATATATCAACATTCTTTCATCTCCCTCAATGCAACAACCAAGAAGCTTTACAAGATTTCGGTGCTGAAGTCTTGCAATCAAAATGACTTCATTCTTGAACTCTTGAAGCCCTTGTCCAGAATTCCTTGATAATCTCTTCACTGCTATGTCTTTTCCTTCTAGCAATTTACCCTTAATAATAACATTTTAGAAGACATTAAGAAGCAATATCATGTTAGAAGAACTTGGTAACCCATTGATGTTGTGTTACCTTGTACACAGGTCCAAAGCCACCCTCTCCTAGCTTGTTATTGCTTGAAAAATTACTTGTAGCACTAGCTATGGTGGTCAAATCAAACATCTGCAACTCCATCTCTTCCTTTTCTCCATCATTCATGTAATCCTTTCTTAAACGCATTTGTTTAAGCCCTGAAGTAGGGATGCATGGTTTGCCAAAGACAAAGAGCTATTATGAGTCTATCATCTATGTTACAAACTTTGGATTCAGTTTTCTCAGGAAAACATGCTAAAATTGTATATGCAAATGTGCATAACATTATTTACCTTCTCTTCTGAGTTTAATCGTCCTTAAATATAGAAGAATTCCTAATAGTAGAAGCACTGCACCTATTATGACAGAGCTTGCTATGATTATTGCATGCTTCTTCTCCCTTGAATTTTTTCTTTGCATAAGGCGAGCTGAAAGATTGAAGGTGGAGTCAGTAGGCATCAATTTGAGTTTAGGGTCAAGTACGTGGTCATGATGAAGAGTTCAAAAATGTGTAATCTTAGGAAATGGTAAAGTTATGGGCAGCGGAAACTTTTGCATGCCATACCAGGCACCTCTAATCCAGTTTCTAAAGACCAAACCTTTCAGCCCTACTTACTGCAGACCCAGAAAAGTTTTGCATAGAAGAACATTACGAAAATTAAATGAATCCCCATTTGAAAGGGATCACCCTGTAGATTCAAAAAGGAAAATTAATTTCAAAAATCTGAAAGAAAAGAAAGCAAGGAGCAACTACCTATTTCCGAAGCTGCTAGCCGGTATAGAGATCTTGCCCTGCATCCGGAAGGTCTATTATGTCGATCAGGTCATCAAACCACAGTAAACAGCCACTTCCACCATTTCTGATATCTGCATTTTTATATGCTTTGCATGAGCAATTTTTCAAACACATTTCCTCACATTCCTTGAGGTTCATTGTCATGTTTGCTGTGGCATTAGATGTATCTGGCAATTTCAACCTTGTAAGCTTGAAAAACCCATCTTCATTACAATGCAAGGGAGTTTCTCTAACACAGCCAGAAGACCAAACTCCTGAGTTCCAATCTAGAAGAGATTTTGGCAAAAACCCTTCCAGGCATGA